AGACAAAACACACTTTGAATCACGTTTCAAAATGTTGCCATTTGCCATGTGCAATGACTAGGGCCGGGACGACACAATATTCTTTCCGTGGTAAAAAGGAAAACACGAAGCAGACCATCTCTTTGGTCCTTTAAAAACCTGCTGGATGTAACATATTGTGTGCTACGGCTTGGAAAACCAATCAATGGGACTCTGGATGACACCATAATGATGTTTGTTTCCAACATTGGGGCTGTTTTCCTAAAGAAGTAAAATCCGCTTCGTGTTTTGTTTCCTTGCCACGATACTAGGCGAGTGTCGCGATACTGGTATCGTCCCGGCCCTAGTAACGAATACATTGGAATCTGCTGATTCATCTTACTCACAGGGCAGTAAACCAAGAAAGACTTTATTATGAAACAACAACACAATTGATTGATTTGATTTATTGACAAGGGAAAGTTTAACAGTCTCTCAATCTCAATGCTTTTTTTTTAAACATGGCTGAAGTTTCAAGCTGCTGTCCCTGTCCAGAGCCTCTCAGTGGTGACACCACAGCCAGCAGCTTCCACAGACAGCCACAGAGGCCACGTTCACGTCGCTGGGATGTGATGGACCGTAGCTGGCCTCTGTGTGACCATCATCCTGAGCAGTGCCCTCTCCCCGACCCCTGACAAGGGATGCGTCCCAAATGGCACCCTGTCCCCTGTATAGTGCAGTAGTTTTGACCACAGCCCAATGGGCCCTGGTTAAAAGAAGTGCACTACCGTAGCCAAGCGCACATTTCCTCTGGAAGACCTGCTCCTCCTCACACCCCTATGTGGTTTCAGCAGGGGCTCTCCAGAACACACACACACCCGCACACGGCCATCCTTCAGCAGGGGCTCTGTCTGTCTGTCTGTCTGTCTGTCTGTCTGTCTGTCTGTTGTCGAACACAGCCGGTGGTAACGGCTGGTTATATTTGTCTTTAGCACCAGGCCTACTGTGAAGGGGGGAACTGATGTGTGTGTGTGTGTGTGTGTGTGTGTGTGTGTGTGTGTGTGTGTGTGTGTGTGTGTGTGTGTGTGTGTGTGTGTGTGTGTGTGTGTGTGTGTGTGTGTGTGTGTGTGTGTGTGTGTGTGTGTGTGTGTGTGTGTGTGTGTGTGTGTGTGTGTGTGTGTGTGCGTGCGTGCGTGTGTGTGTGTCTGTACAGATGACACAGGGGATATTACAGGCAGTCTGGCACGGATTATATTGTGTGGCATAGCACACATCTGCTTACTCTTCAGATTCCTGCAATGCCATCTATATATATACAGTGAGGGAAAAAAGTATTTGATCCCCTGCTGACTTTGTACGTTTGCCCGCTGACAAAGACATGATCAGTCTATAATTTTAATGGTAGGTTTATTTGAACAGTGAGAGACAGAATAACAACAACAAAATCCAGAAAAACGCATGTCAAAAATGTAATAAATTTATTTGCATTTTAATGAGGGAAATAAGTATTTGACCCCTCTGCAAAACATGACTTAGTACTTGGTGGCAAAACCCTTGTTAGCAACACAGAGGTCAGACGTTTCTTGGAGGGATTTTGTCCCACTCCTCTTTGCAGATCTTCTCCAAGTCATTAAGGTGTCGAGGCTGACGTTTGGCAACTCGAACCTTTAGCTCCCTCCACAGATTTTCTATGGGATTAAGGTCTGGATACTGGCTAGGCCACTCCAGGACCTTAATGTGCTTCTTCTTGAGCCACTCCTTTGTTGCCTTGGCCGTGTGTTTTGGGTCATTGTCATGCTGGAATATCCATCCACGACCCATTTTCAATGCCCTGGCTGAGGGAAGGAGGTTCTCACCCAAGATTTGATGGTACATGGCCCCGTCCATCGTCCCTTTGATGCGGTGAAGTTAGCAGAAAAACACCCCCAAAGCACAATTTTCCACCTCCATGTTTGACGGTGGGGATGGTGTTCTTGGGGTCATAGGCAGCATTCCTCCTCCTCCAAACACGGCGAGTTGAGTTGATGCCAAAGAGCTCAATTTTGGTCTCATCTGACCACAACACTTTCACCCAGTTCTCCTCTGAATCATTCAGATGTTCATTGGCAAACTTCAGACGGGCATGTATATGCGCTTTCTTGAGCAGGGGGACCTTGCGGGCGCTGCAGGATTTCAGTCCTTCACGGCGTAGTGTGTTACCAATTGTTTTCTTGGTGACTATGGTCCCAGCTGCCTTGAGATCATTGACAAGATCCTCCCGTGTAGTTCTGGGCTGATTCCTCACCGTTCTCATGATCATTGCAACTCCACGAGATGAGATCTTGCATGGAGCCCCAGGCCGAGGGAGATTGACAGTTCTTTTGTGTTTCTTCCATTTGCGAATAATTGCACCAACTATTGTCACCTTCTCACCAAGCTGCTTGGCGATGGTCTTGTAGCCCATTCCAGCCTTGTGTAGGTCTACAATCTTGTCCCTGACATCCTTGGAGAGCTCTTTGGTCTTGGCCATGGTGGAGAGTTTGGAATCTGATTGATTGATTGCTTCTGTGGACAGGTGTCTTTTATACAGGTAACAAGCTGAGATTAGGAGCACTCCCTTTAAGAGTGTGCTCCTAATCTCAGCTCGTTACCTGTATAAAAGACACATGCGAGCCAGAAATCTTTCTGATTGAGAGGTGGTCAAATACTTATTTCCCTCATTAAAATGCAAATCAATTTATAACATTCTTGACATGCCTTTTTCTGGATTTTTTTGTTGTTATTCTGTCTCTCACTGTTCAAATAAACCTACCATTAAAATTATAGACTGATCATTTCCTTGTCAGTGGGCAAACATACAAAATCAGCAGGGGATCAAATACTTTTTTCCCTCACTGTATAGATATATATTACAGTACAGTTCACTTCAGTCTAAACTAAGCTGCAATATGAGCACTATCAAATGTTTAAAAAGCTGCATCCCAAATGGTACCCTATTACCTACAGAGTGCACTGCCTTCGACACAAAACCATACAGGCCCTGATTAAAAGTGTTGCACTATAAAGGGAATAGGGTGCCATTTATGACACTTTTTGCCGTTGAACTGTTTCCTCTCGTCCGTCCCCTGGTCCCCTTTATTGTCAAGTGGATGAATCTGAGCTACCTCTGTAGTGGTTTACCAGATAGGGAACCAAATTGCACCCTATTGCCTTTATACTGCACTACTTTTGACCAGGGCCCAAAGTAATGCTCTGGTCAAAAGTAGTGCACTATGTAGGGAAAAGGGTGCCATTTGGGACGCTGGCCCTGTTCAAAGGTTATGTATGTGGCGACTGCTAGTTGCAAAGCACTGCCACTATAATGCTGTTTACAATGTGCTTTACAATGCAGGTTATATTATTATCTGTAATGCGGGTCATCTATTGTTTATAAGGTTATATTATAGCTGTAGTCAGTTATGAACCCAGTGGTACCATATAGCTGTAGTCAGTTATGATCCTCAGTGGTACCATATAGCTGTAGTCAGTTATGAACCCAGTGGTACCATAAAGCTGTAGTCAGTTATGATCCTCAGTGGTACCATAAAGCTGTAGTCAGTTATGAACCCAGTGGTACCATATAGCTGTAGTCAGTTATGATCCTCAGTGGTACCATATAGTTGTAGTCAGTAATGAACCCAGTGGTACCATATAGCTGTAGTCAGTTATGAACCCAGTGGTACCATATAGCTGTAGTCAGTTATGAACCCAGTGGTACCATATAGCTGTAGTCAGTTATGAACCCAGTGGTACCATATAGCTGTAGTCAGTTATGAACCCAGTGGTACCATATAGCTGTAGTCAGTTATGAACCCAGTGGTACCATATAGTTGTAGTCAGTGCACTTTTCAATATAATAGGATATGTGGAATTCACTGAGCTTTAATTATGTTGATGAGTTATCACTCACTGAATAGATCCATACTTTCATTGATTTGAGAGATGTGATCAAGATAGTGAATTTGACGCTCAGGTTCTTCTATCATGAGCTGTCTGAGACACTATTGATCCATGAGGGTTCGATGGAGACTTCTGTAAGCAGGGAAAGGAACCACGAATGGAAAAGTTATTTCAGTTAGAGCTAAAGTCTATCTAATTTTGTCTCACATCATTGAAGGCTCTGTGCAAACTTGTACAACAGCTGTTAACTTGAATGTTATTTTTAGTTATAGAAGTTAGTTACCGTAAACAGGCCATCTAGTAGGCATGCAATTAGCGACATGTAATATGTGGGTGCCGTTGCTTTGGTACTCATTAGGTTTGGAGTAAGAGGATGACTGAATAGGATCAAGGTCTTGTTGCAAAGTTAACCTTTGGAATTTTCATTTGGAGTTGGAACCAAATTATCGTTAAAATTCTGGAGTTAAAGTTCCTCATTAGAATGCAGACCCATTCTCGTCAATGTGTTCCAGAAGAGGATGTTGTCAATAGAGGGTAATGTCTAATCGCATCCCAAATTGCACCCTATTCCCTATACTTTTGATCAGAGCCCAATGGACCCTGGTCAAAAGTAGTGCACTATATAGGGAATAGGGTGCCATTTGGGATACACTTAAGTCTTTGTTCAGGTGCATTAGCATTGCGCCTGCATGCTTCTGCTGCCAATGTGATTATCATCAAACCTACTCAGGCATTAGCCAGTGATGCTCTCTAGCCTCTCCAGCCAGCCGTTTTAGTGTCTAGTATTTGTCATGGTCAATTGGGCCCTGCATCACCGAGAGACACTGGTGGATGGGCATTAGCACTCCGAGTCTAGCGCTGGTCTGGAGCCATAGAGACGGATAGAGCAAGCATTTTCCATGAAAGGTTGTTCATGGAGAGTGGGTAGTGCATTTTAAAGGCCTCTACCAAAAGTGATTAATGGCAAAGATAGACTGATGAAAACTTTGCATGACTTGAGAAGTTGTGTTTTTGGGTTTGGTAATAAAGCACTAAGGAGCAACTATATTTTGTGTGCAGGCCCCTATTTCCTTCTCTGTATTGTTTTGCCCATTACCAGTATTCTCACGTTTAGGATGTGCATATCACCCTCCTGTTCTTCGAAGATGGGAGGTGTGCCATCTTTCCATCTCTATGACTGGAGTACAGTCTGCCTGATGGGTGTAGCAGCTGTGAGGCTGGCTGGCTGACTGGCTGGCTGGCTGGCTGGCTGACTGGCTGGCTGGCTGACTGGCTGGCTGACTGGCTGGCTGGCTGGCTGGCTGGCTGGCTGACTGGCTGGCTGGCTGACTGGCTGGCTGACTGACTGGCTGGCTGGCTGACTGGCTGGCTGGCTGGCTGGCTGACTGGCTGGCTGGCTGACTGGCTGGCTGACTGGCTGACTGGCTGGCTGACTGGCTGGCTGACTGGCTGACTGACTGACTGGCTGGCTGGCTGGCTGGCTGACTGGCTGGCTGACTGGCTGGCTGACTGGCTGACTGACTGACTGGCTGACTGGCTGACTGGCTGACTGGCTGACTGGCTGACTGGCTGACTGGCTGGCTGGCTGACTGGCTGGCTGGCTGGCTGGCTGACTGGCTGGCTGACTGGCTGACTGGCTGACTGACTGGCTGGCTGGCTGACTGGCTGGCTGGCTGGCTGACTGGCTGGCTGACTGGCTGGCTGGCTGACTGGCTGACTGGCTGACTGGCTGACTGGCTGACTGGCTGACTGGCTGACTGGCTGGCTGGCTGACTGGCTGACTGCTGCTCAGGCCCAGAGGCAGACAGACAGATGGTCATGGTAATGACTCTGTCTGCTTTGTAAAAAAATATATAATTGATGTCCCTGCGATACACCAGGGAATCCATACAGGTCTTAAGTGGAGTTTCTGACCGTAGATTAAGGAGATTATTTTCACTTTGTTTTGCTGTTAGATAGAGCTCAGAAAATATAAATGAGACTCGATACATCTTTGTTTTAAATAGCCTACTTTTGGAAATCAACCTAACTTGGTCTTGTTTCAAATGCTATCACTGCTGGAGTAGAAAAATCGTTTTTTCTTGCCATTTGTTTTGTGTAATTCTTGTATTTCTCCACTGCTGCTTCTGACTAGCTTCCCAACGGGCTAGCTGTGAAGTAAGCCCGGACCACTCTCTCTCCTCTTCCCTGTGAATGAGAGACTCAAGTCCATCAGTCCCAACAAAGAAATGTCAAACATTGAGCCTGCCTGGCTTTTTGTGTGCTGTGAGGTAAATCACATTCCAATAGGGAAAGCAAACACTGTGTGGAAGCAGCGAAACCCAATAGCCTCCTGTCCTGTCGCTGGCTAGCTACTCTATGTCTGTGAGACCAACCCAACAATGTCAATACCATAGGCAATATTATCTTCGCACTTCACAGCTGCTGGAGAGGGTTGTGTGAGAGGGGGTACTCAAATTCAAGGAATGAGACAACAGACAGAAACAGTGGCTCTCACGTCCCAGCGTGAAGTCAAATATGTGTATTTCATGACAAGGTGTCATCTCATTGTAAACTCAGTCTGCTGTGGCACAAGGGTCATAAGGTCGTAAGGTCATAGGTTCATAAGGTGACCATTTTGTCACTCAGCACTCTCTGTTCAGTGCAACTACAGAGTAACACAGACGACGGACAGTCACAGGATAGTCTGTCTGGATGTCTCCTATAATGTTATTATTCCAAATGCTTATTCAGGGACATACAGTGGGGAGAACAAGTATTTGATACACTGCCGATTTTGCAGGTTTTCCTACTTACAAAGCATGTAGAGGTCTGTAATTTTTATCATAGGTACACTTCAACAAAAATCCATAAAAATCACATTGTATGATTTTTAAGTAATTCATTTGCATTTTATTGCATGACATAAGTATTTGATACATCAGAAAAGCAGAACTTAATTTTTGGTACAGAAACCTTTGTTTGCAATTACAGAGATCATACGTTTCCTGTAGGTCTTGACCAGGTTTGCACACACTGCAGCAGGGATTTTGGCCCACTCCTCCATACAGACCTTCTCCAGATCCTTCAGGTTTCGGGGCTGTCGCTGGGCAATACGGACTTTCAGCTCCCTCCAAAGATTTTCTATTGGGTTCAGGTCTGGAGACTGGCTAGGCCACTCCAGGACCTTGAGATGCTTCTTACGGAGCCACTCCTTAGTTGCCCTGGCTGTGTGTTTTGGGTCGTTGTCATGCTGGAAGAACCAGCCATGACCCATCTTCAATGCTCTTACTGAGGGAAGGAGGTTGTTGGCCAAGATCTCGCGATACATGGCCCCATCCATCCTCCCCTCAATACGGTGCAGTCGTCCTGTCCCCTTTGCAGAAAAGCATCCCCAAAGAATGATGTTTCCACCTCCATGCTTCACGGTTGGGATGGTGTTCTTGGGGTTGTACTCATCCTTCTTCTTCCTCCAAACACGGCGAGTGGAGTGTAGACCAGAATGCTCTATTTTTGTCTCATCAGACCACATGACCTTCTCCCATTACTCCTCTGGATCATCCAGATGGTCATTGGCAAACTTCAGACGGGCCTGGACATGCGCTGGCTTGAGCATGGGGACCTTACTAATGGTTTTCTTTGAGACTGTGGTCCCAGCTCTCTTCAGGTCATTGACCAGGTCCTGCCGTGTAGTTCTGGGCTGATCCCTCACCTTCCTCATGATCATTGATGCCCCACGAGGTGAGATCTTGCATGGAGCCCCAGACCGAGGGTGATTGACCGTCATCTTGAACTTCTTCCTTTTTCTAATAATTGTGCCAACAGTTGTTGCCTTCTCACCAAGCTGCTTGCCTATTGTCCTGTAGCCCATCCCAGCCTTGTGCAGGTCTACAATTTTATCCCTGATGTCCTTACACAGCTCTCTGGTCTTGGCCATTGTGGAGAGGTTGGAGTCTGTTTGATTGAGTGTGTGGACAGGTGTCTTTTATACAGGTAACGAGTTCAAACAGGTGCAGTTAATACAGGTAATGAGTGGAGAACAGGAGGGCTTCTTAAATAAAAACTAACAGGTCTGTGAGAGCCAGAATTCTTACTGGTTGGTAGGTGATAAAATACTTATGTCATGCAATAAAATGCAAATTAATTACAAAAAAATCATACAACATTTTCTGGATTTCTTTTTCTTTTCTGGATTATTATTTTTTTGATTCCGTCTCTCACAGTTGAAGTGTACCTATGATAAAAATTACAGACCTCTACATGCTTTGTAAGTAGGAAAACCTGCAAAATCGGCAGTGTATCAAATACTTGTTCTCCCCACTGTATTCTGACTTAGATAACCACCGTCCAATTTCCAAATTATCTTGCGTTTCCAACGTTTTAGAATCCCTGATCAACTCTCAGCTAAGAATTTGTTTAACTTCTCATTCTATTCTTAATGTGCACCTGTCTGCTTTTAGACCTGTTTCAGATGGTATGCTGGTTCTAGATGATGTGTTAAATTGCTTAGATCATAAAAATCATTGTGCTGCCTTATTTATAGACTTTTCCAAAGGTATTCGACACTGTTGACCATCACATTCTCATTCAAAGGTTGACTGAACTAGGCCTGTATCAGGCTTCTTGCAAGTGGTTTGAGAATGATCTGTCAGACAGGACACAATGTGTGATTTCTGATGGTGTTAAGTCTAGTTTCCTGGATATTACAAAAGGTGTACCACAGGGGTCGGTATTGGGACCTGTTTTCTTTACTATTGTATACTATTGGTCTATCCGTTCAAACTTGTAATATTCATCTGTATGCAGACGACACTGTTCTGTATGCCATTTCCCCAGCTGTGGACCAGGCCATGTTAGAGCTGCAATCTGACCTTGTTGCTTGGTTGGTTTAAATGCAGGCAAACCTAAATATATGTTGTTCTCTAATTATCGCAAAAATGTTTCAGATGGACTACATATTTAATGAATTTGATGTTTCTCCCATCGATCGGGTTCCCGCCTATAAATATCTGGACATTTGGAAAGGCAAACATTTAATGATTATAAAACATGCGGATGAGATAGTTAAAAAGCTAATATTTAAAGTGGGCTTCTTTTTTAGAAATAAATAGCAGGAAGCAGATTGCACAGCCAATGTTCCTGACAGTTCTTGACTATGGTGACACCATTTACCAGATTGCAGCAACCACTACTCTTATACCTTTGGATGCCAGCTACCAGAGCACCCTTTGCTTGATTAATACACATCATTGCATCCTGTATCAAAGGTTGGCTAGTCCTCATTAAAGTCCCGTAGATCACTTCACTATTCCTTTTCTGTTTACAAAACTCTACTACTACACAAGCTTCTGACTTATCTAACTTCGCTGTTATAATATATAAACATGAGATACCAAACCCGTTCAAAAGGTTGGTTAACTCTTGAGGTTCCTCGGGTACCTGAACTAGGTAAATCTGCTTTTAGTTTTAAAGCACCTCATTACTGGAACCAACTACAAAATACATTACAATTGGATGTTCTGGTGCCGCTCGGGCAATTTAAAATATTGATTGTGGTACTTATTTTTGAAGAAGGTAATTGTTTTTCTTGAATATTTGTGTTGTGCTATATTTGACTTGTTTTATGTTATTCTAGATGTTTTATTTTGTCTTGTGAAATTGTACAGTGCCTTCAGAAAGTATTCATACCCCTTGACTTATTCCACATTTTGTTGCGTTACAGCTTGAATTCAAAATGGATTAAAAAAATAATAATAATTCTCACCCTACACACAATACCCCACAATGAGAAAATGAAACCATGTTTTTAGAAATGTTGGCAAATGTATTGAAAATGAAAAACATAAATATTTAATTTACATAAGTATTCACACCCCTGAGTCAATACATGTTAGAATCACCTTTGGCAGCGATTACAGCTGTGAGTCCTTCTGGGTAAATTTCTTAGAGTTTTGCACACCAGCATTGTACAATATTTGCTCATTATTCTTAAAATAATTATTCAAGCTCTGTCAAATTGGTTGTTTATCATTGCTTGACAACCATTTTCAAGTCTTGCCATAGATGTTCACCAGTTTGATCTCACAGTGTTGCTTATAGGGAGATCAGCAATGGATTTTAACGGTAAGGTAGTATTATTTCAGATTCACAAGGACACAGGACGCTGTCTAGGGCACAGAACAGTGTGATACTACACTGACAAGAAAGGGACTTACCCTACAGTGCATCTGTCTGATAACGGAAATGAGACTGAACTGATTTAGATCTTAACCAGATCAACCCAAACATGTATCATCAATAGAAGTCATTTCTCTACTAGATTGCCATTGAGTTTGTTCCTTTTCACCAAGAGAGAGCTCTAATGAACGTGTCACTCACATTCTGTTTACAAACATATGGTTGATGCCAGAAGAGAAGTGCTCAGTGGTCTGATCACTGTCTGTCTCTCTAAACGTCAGGCTCTTCTCTTCCTTCCCAACAGAGTGTAGAGTAGTCAGCGCTCACACTGAAATACCATAGAAATAGATTCCCAAAACACTCCACATTCCTTGGCTTCTGCTTTGCCGACTGTTGTGTAAATAATACCTTTGAATTAGGATCATGGTTGACAGTAGGGAAGAATATATTGGATTAACCTCTACGGGATCGGTGTCCCGTATACGGGACGGTTGAGCTAATGTGCGCTAATGTGATTAGCATGACTGTTGTAAGTAACAGCAACATTTACAGTAGCTATTACGGTGAAAAAAAATACCATGCTATTGTTTGAGGAGAGTGCACAACAACAAAAAACTTATCATGGCAAGTGGTTTGATACATTCACCTCTGAAGGTAAATAATGTACTTACATTCAGAATTCTTGCTCTAATTTGTCATCCTGAGAGATAAAATGTAGCATAGTTTTGTTTGATAAAATCAATTTTTATATTAAATTGTAGGAACTGGGTTCTACAGTTTGAACCCTTGCTGTCTCTGGCTCCACACCCACCCCGCCCGGCCATCTAGATGTGTGAAAGTTAGTGTATAAGCTAATGATCCATCATGTATGACATTCCTGGGAGTGTGTAAACTTACATTTTCTATTACCATATCATTTGTGTATGTTCTCTATAGTTATGTACTTGAAAATGTATCAATTGACCAATTCGACTCATTTGGGCAGACTTGATACAAAATAGTCCAGTATTGCAATGCTTCACTGGATCAATCTGAAACTTTGCACACACACTGCTGCCATCTAGTGGCCAAAATCTATATTGTGCCTAAACTGAAATATTATATTGTGGCCTTTCTCTTGCATTTCAAAGATCTAATGTGTTATATTATCCTACATTAATTTCACATTTCCACAAACTTCAAAGTGTTTCCTTTCAAATGGTATCAAGAATATGCATATCCTTGCTTCAAGTCCTGAGCTACAGGCAGTTAGATTTGGGTATGTCATTTTAGCAAAAATTGAAAAAAAGGGTCCGATCCTTAAGAGGTTTTACGTTTATATTTGTTTCATAAATTATTTGAAATTCATAACATTCAATATGAGCCCCCATAAAGTTTAGTCTTTGTTGTTGATTTTCTGCTCTTTCTCTCTGTTTATGATGAAAAACGTCATAAATAATACATAGTGGACCTGCCAGCAGACTGTCGCAGATCTTTTATTCATGACAGCTTTTAACAGGCTGGACATGACATGGCTGCATGGCCGGGGCTCTGGAGACAGGCTGGACAGGACATGGCTGCATGGCCAAGGCTCTGGAGACAGGCTGGACTGGACATGGCTGCATGGCCGGGGCTCTGGAGACAAGCTGGACAGGACATGGCTGAATGGCCAAGGCTCTGGAGACAGGCTGGACAGGACATGGCTGCATGGCCGGGGCTCTGGAGACAGGCTGGACAGGACATGGCTGCATGGCCGGGGCTCTGGAGACAGGCTGGACAGGGCATGGCTGAATGGCCAAGGCTCTGGAGACAGGCTGGACAGGACATGGCTGCATGGCCAAGGCTCTGGAGACAGGCTGGACAGGACATGGCTGCATGGCCGGGGCTCTGGAGACAAGCTGGACAGGACATGGCTGCATGGCCGGGGCTCTGGAGACAAGCTGGACAGGACATGGCTGCATGGCCGGGGCTCTGGAGACAGGCTGGACAAGACATGGCTGAATGGCCAAGGCTCTGGAGACAGGCTGGACAGGACATGGCTGAATGGCCAAGGCTCTGGAGACAGGCTGGACAGGACATGGCTGCATGGCCGGGGCTCTGGAGACAGGCTGGACAGGACATGGCTGCATGGCCGGGGCTCTGGAGACAGGCTGGACAGGACATGGCTGCATGGCCGGGTTTCTGGAGAGGGAGTGGCACTTTTACTGGGGGCATCACACCCTCTGTGAGTGTTTGTTTATGTGTGTGTGTGTGTGTGTGTGTGTGTGTGTGTGTGTGTGTGTGTGTGTGTGTGCGTGTGTGTCAGTCAGAGCCTCCATTAGAACAGAGAACACAGGCCTGACAGGAAGGAACATGCGTGCCACATTAGTCCACACCAGGACAATACACACCACTTGTTTGTCACTCCACTGGGGCCAGTTAAAGCCTTTCAATTAATTTCAAATCAATGACTTAATTTGACGTGGGCTAATTTGACATGAGTTAATTGTTTATATATTTTTTAATAATACATAATATTACATTTCATATAGGTACAGTATGATGATTGCAAACTACTCCCACACTGCTAATATTTTACATTTACATGGGGATTTCTTTATAATTTGTAGTTAATTTGCAGGTCACCACTGAACAAGGAACATGGTTAATAATGAAAGACTCTCAAATTGTCTCTAATCACACTTCTTTTGAAGTTTACCACCTCAAAGATAAAGTCCTGACCCCCTGAGAAGGACTGGAGGTCGAGCTAGAGAACTCTCTATCTACAGTCTCTGTGGAGATGTACAGTTATCACACAGCAATGTGATGGGTAGCTCTAACCAGCAGCAGCTAGATAGAACAACTGCCATGCAACAAATAGTACTGATAAATCACTGTGCTGGAGGTCTGGCACGAGACTGGCAGTGCGTCCGCACACACACACACACAAACACACACACAAACACACAAACACACACACACTCTCTGGAGGTCTGGCACGGTGACAGGACTGTGGCACGAGACTGGCAGCATACACACCAGGGGGTTCCGTCAACAGAAGGAAGGGTGTGTCATGTCTGAAGGCTGGTGTGTCATGTCTGAGGGCTGGTGTGTCATGTCTGAGGGCTGGTGGGTCATGTCTGAAGGCTGGTGTGTCTGAAGGCTGGTGTGTCATGTCTGAAGGCTGGTGTGTCATGTCTGAAGGCTGGTGTGTCATGTCTGAAGGCTGGTGTGTCATGTCTGAGGGCTGGTGTGTCATGTCTGAAGGCTGGTGTGTCATGTCTGAGGGCTGGTGTGTCATGTCTGAAGGCTGGTGTGTCATGTCTGAGGGCTGGTGTGTCATGTCTGAAGGCTGGAGTGTCATGTCTGAAGGCTGGTGTGTCATGTCTGAGGGCTGGTGTGTCATGTCTGAGGGCTGGTGGGTCATGTCTGAAGGCTGGTGTGTCTGAAGGCTGGTGTGTCATGTCTGAAGGCTGGTGTGTCATGTCTGAAGGCTGGTGTGTCATGTCTGAAGGCTGGTGTGTCATGTCTGAGGGCTGGTGTGTCATGTCTGAAGGCTGGTGTGTCATGTCTGAGGGCTGGTGTGTCATGTCTGAAGGCTGGTGTGTCATGTCTGAGGGCTGGTGTGTCATGTCTGAAGGCTGGAGTGTCATGTCTGAAGGCTGGTGTGTCATGTCTGAGGGCTGGTGTGTCATGTCTGAAGGCTGGAGTGTCATGTCTGAAGGCTGGTGTGTCATGTCTGAGGGCTGGTGTGTCATGTCTGAAGGCTGGTGTGTCATGTCTGAGGGCTGGTGTGTCATGTCTGAAGGCTGGTGTGTCATGTCTGAAGGCTGGTGTGTCTGAAGGCTGGTGTGTCATGTCTGAGGGCTGATGTGTCATGTCTGAAGGCTGGTGTGTCTGAGGGCTGGTGTGTCTGAGGGCTGGTGTGTCATGTCTGAAGGCTGGTGTGTCATGTCTGAAGGCTGGTGTGTCATGTCTGAAGGCTGGTGTGTCATGTCTGAGGGCTGGTGTGTCATGTCTGAAGGCTGGTGTGTCATGTCTGAGGGCTGGTGTGTCATGTCTGAAGGCTGGAGTGTCATGTCTGAAGGCTGGTGTGTCATGTCTGAGGGCTGGTGTGTCATGTCTGAAGGCTGGTGTGTCATGTCTGAGGGCTGGTGTGTCATGTCTGAAGGCTGGTGTGTCATGTCTGAAGGCTGGTGTGTCTGAAGGCTGGTGTGTCATGTCTGAGGGCTGGTGTGTCATGTCTGAAGGCTGGTGTGTCATGTCTGAGGGCTGGTGTGTCATGTCTGAGGGCTGGTGTGTCATGTCTGAAGGCTGGTGTGTCTGAAGGCTGGTGTGTCATGTCTGAAGGCTGGTGTGTCTGAAGGCTGGTGTGTCATGTCTGAGGGCTGGTGTGTCTGAAGGCTGGTGTGTCATGTCTGAAGGCTGGTGTGTCATGTCTGAAGGCTGGTGTGTCATGTCTGAAGGCTGGTGTGTCATGTCTGAGGGCTGGTGTGTCATGTCTGAAGGCTGGTGTGTCATGTCTGAGGGCTGGTGTGTCTGAAGGCTGGTGTGTCATGTCTGAAGGCTGGTGTGTCATGTCTGAAGGCTGGTGTGTCATGTCTGAAGGCTGGTGTGTCATGTCTGAGGGCTGGTGTGTCATGTCTGAAGGCTGGTGTGTCATGTCTGAAGGCTGGTGTGTCATGTCTGAAGGCTGGTGTGTCATGTCTGAGGGCTGGTGTGTCATGTCTGAAGGCTGGTGTGTCATGTCTGAGGGCTGGTGTGTCATGTCTGAAGGCTGGTGTGTCATGTCTGAGGGCTGGTGTGTCATGTCTGAAGGCTGGTGTGTCATATCTGAGGGCTGGTGTGTCATGTCTGAAGGCTGGTGTGTCTGAAGGCTGGTGTGTCATGTCTGAGGGCTGGTGTGTCATGTCTGAAGGCTGGTGTGTCATGTCTGAGGGCTGGTGTGTCATGTCTGAGGGCTGGTGTGTCCTGTCTGAAGGAAGGGTGTGTCATGTCTGAAGGCTGGTGTGTCATGTCTGAAGGCTGGTGTGTCATGTCTGAAGGCTGGTGTGTCATGTCTGAAGGCTGGTGTGTCATGTCTGAAGGCTGGTGTGTCATGTCTGAAGGCTGGTGTGTCATGTCTGAAGGCTGGTGTGTCATGTCTGAAGGCTGGTGTGTAATGTCTGAAGGCTGGTGTGTCTGAAGGCTGGTGTGTCATGTCTGAAGGCTGGAGTGTCATGTCTGAGGGCTGGTGTGTCATGTCTGAGGGCTGGTGTGTCATGTCTGAAGGCTGGTGTGTCATGTCTGAAGGCTGGTGTGTCATGTCTGAGGGCTGGTGTGTCATGTCTGAAGGCTGGTGTGTCATGTCTGAGGGCTGGTGTGTCATGTCTGAAGGCTGGTGTGTCATGTCTGAGGGCTGGTGTGTCATGTCTGAAGGCTGGTGTGTCATGTCTGAGGGCTGGTGTGTCATGTCTGAAGGCTGGTGTGTCTGAAGGCTGGTGTGTCATGTCTGAGGGCTGGTGTGTCATGTCTGAAGGCTGGTGTGTCATGTCTGAGGGCTGGTGTGTCATGTCTGAGGGCTGGTGTGTCCTGTCTGAAGGAAGGGTGTGTCATGTCTGAAGGCTGGTGTGTCATGTCTGAAGGCTGGTGTGTCATGTCTGAAGGCTGGTGTGTCATGTCTGAAGGCTGGTGTGTCATGTCTGAAGGCTGGTGTGTCATGTCTGAAGGCTGGTGTGTCATGTCTGAAGGCTGGTGTGTCATGTCTGAAGGCTGGTGTGTCATGTCTGAGGGCTGGTGTGTCATGTCTGAAGGCTGGAGTGTCATGTCTGAGGGCTGGTGTGTCATGTCTGAGGGCTGGTGTGTCAAGCCCTTTGATGACCAGCTTGGCTTTGGCTTAGTTAGTTAAAGCCAGAATCCTTAGTCGTTACATCAATTATTGGACTTATACATTAGTGATATATACCCATTGATTCTTGAAGAATATTACTTATAAATGCCTCATGAGCTTAGTTCAACTGTCATACCCCATCAGAAACCAATATATATATATGGGGCGGCAGGTACAGTGGGGAGAACAAGTATTTGATACACTGCCGATTTTGCAGGTTTTCCTACTTACAAAGCATGTAGAGGTGTGTCATTTTTATCATAGGTACACTTCAACTGTGAGAGACGGAATCTAAAACAAAAATCCAGAAAATCACATTGTATGATTTTTAAGTAATTAATTTGCATTTTATTGCATGACATAAGTATTTGATCACCTACCAACCAGTAAGAATTCCGGCTCTCACAGACCTGTTAGTTTTTCTTTAAGAAGCCCTCCTGTTCTCCACTCATTACCTTTATTAACTGAACCTGTTTGAACTCGTTACCTGTATAAAAGACACCTGTCCACACACTCAATCAAACAGACTCCAACCTCTCCACAATGGCCAAGACCAGAGAGCTGTGTAAGGACATCAGGGATAAAATTGTAGACCTGCACAAGGCTGGGATGGGCTACAGGACAATAGGCAAGCAGCTTGGTGAGAAGGCAACAACTGTTGGCGCAATTATTAGAAAATGGAAGAAGTTCAAGATGACGGTCAATCACCCTCGGTCTGGGGCTCCATGCAAGATCTCACCTTGTGGGGCGTCAATGATCATGAGGAAGGTGAGGGATCAGCCCAGAACTACACGGCAGGACCTGGTCAATGACCTGAAGAGAGCTGGGACCACAGTCTCAAAGAAAACCATTAGTAACACACTACGCCGTCATGAATTAAAATCCTGTAGCGCACGCAAGGTCCCCCTGCTCAAGCCAGCGCATGTCCAGGCCCGTCTGAAGTTTGCCAGTGACCATCTGGATGATCCAGAGGAGGAATGGGAGAAGGTCATGTGGTCTGATGAGACAAAAATTGAGCTTTTTGGTCTAAACTCCACTCACCATGTTTGGAGGAAGAAGAAGGATAAGTACAACCCCAAGAACACCATCCCAACCATGAAGCATGGAGGTGGAAACATCATTCTTTGGGGATGCTTTTCTGCAAAGGGGACAGGACGACTGCACCGTATTGAGGGGAGGATGGATGTGGCCATGTATCGCGAGATCTTGGCCAACAACCTCCTTCCCTCAGTAAGAGCATTGAAGATGGGTCGTGGCTGGGTCTTCCAGCATAACAACGACCCGAAACACACAGCTAGGGCAACTAAGGAGTGGCTCCGTAAGAAGCATCTCAAGGTCCTGGAGTGGCCTAGCCAGTCTCCAGACCTGAACCCAATAGAAAATCTTTGGAGGGAGCTGAAAGTCCGTATTGCCCAGCGACAGCCCCGAAACCTGAAGGATCTGGAGAAGGTCTGCATGGAGGAGTGGGCCAAAATCCCTGCTGCAGTGTGTGCAAACCTGGTCAAGACCTACAGGAAACGTATGATCTCTGTAAAGGTTTCTGTACCAAAAATTAAGTTCTGCTTTTCTGATGTATCAAATACTTATGTCATGCAATAAAATGCAAATTAATTACTTAAAATTCATACAATGTGATTTTCTGGATTTTTGTTTTAGATTCCGTCTCTCACAGTTGAAGTGTACATATGATAAAAATTACAGACCTCTACATGCTTTGTAAGTAGGAAAACCTGCAAAATCGGCAGTGTATCAAATACTTGTTCTCCCCACTGTAGCTTAGTGGTTAAGAGCGTTGTGCCAGTAACCGAAAGGGCACTGGTTCTAATCCCAGAGCAGACTAGGTGAAAAATCTGTCGATGTGCCCTTGAGCAAGGCACTTAACCCTAATTGCTCCTGTAAGTCGCTCTGGATAAGAGCGTCTGCTAAATGACTAAAATGAAAATATATAAGCTTGTTTTACTCTGAACTGAACAAACACTGTATAGGCTCAAAACATTGTTAAAAATATAATTTTGATATCATGGATGGTCAGTGCTTTCATCCATAGCTCTGTCTATAAATTTGAGAGTGGTTACAATGACATTGTAGGCCATCATTGTAAATAATAATGTTTTCTTAACTGACTTGCCAAGTTAAATAAAGGTAAAATATATTTTTTATTTTTTATTTTTTTTACAAAAACAGGCGAGGTGACTGCTTTTTTTATTGTTTTGATTAAGGATTCTAGCTTTAATAAATATCAGTCCTATAAACAAGTGAAGTGCACAACTGTGGTAATATAGCTGTGTTAAAAAACACACAGTGCCGAAATAGCTGTGAAAAGACCCATAAAGCTTATTAATGAGAGAAGTAATCTCTTCTGAAGCCTTAATGGGACCCAGAGGTGGACAGACAGACAGACAGACAGACAGACAGACAGACAGACAGACAGACAGACAGACAGACAGACAGACAGACAGACAGACAGACAGACAGACAGACAGACAGACAGACAGACAGACAGACAGACAGACAGACAGACAGACAGACAGACAGACAGACAGACAGGATATTTGGTGGACCGGGTGTCATGCTGGTTCTGTTCTGTGTGCTAATAGGGGAGTAGTGATAGCCTGGTCCCAGATCTGTTTGGTGCTGTCTTGCCAACGTCTACGGTCATTGTCATACCAGACAGCACAAACAGATCTGGGAACCAGGCTAGGAGTAATGTGGCTGTTTATTAATGGGGGAGAAGCGTGTAGGTAATGTGGCTGTTTATTAATGGGGGAGAAGCGTGTAGGTAATGTGGCTGTTTATTAATGGGGGAGAAGCGTGTAGGTAATGTGGCTGTTTATTAATGGGGGAGAAGCGTGTAGGTAATGTGGCTGTTTATTTATGGGGGAGAAGCGTGTAGGTAATGTGGCTGTTTATTAATGGGGGAGTACTGTGTAGGTAATGTGGCTGTTTATTAATGGGGGAGAAGCGTGTAGGTAATGTGGCTGTTTATTAATGGGGGAGAAGCGTGTAGGTAATGTGGCTGTTTATTAATGGGGGAGAAGCGTGTAGGTAATGTGGCTGTTTATTAATGGGGGAGAAGCGTGTAGGTAATGTGGCTGTTTATTAAAGGGGGAGAAGCGTGTAGGTAATGTGGCTGTTTATTAATGGGGGAGAAGCGTGTAGGTAATGTGGCTGTTTATTAAAGGGGGAGTACTGTGTAGGTAATGTGGCTGTTTATTAATGGGGGAGAAGCGTGTAGGTAATGTGGCTGTTTATTAAAGGGGGAGAAGCGTGTAGGTAATGTGGCTGTTTATTAAAGGGGGAGTACTGTGTAGGTAATGTGGCTGTTTATTAAAGGGGGAGTACTGTGTAGGTAATGTGGCTGTTTATTAAAGGGGGAGTACTGTGTAGGTAATGTGGCTGTTTATTAAAGGTGGAGAAGCGTGTAGGTAATGTGGCTGTTTATTAATGGGGGAGTACTGTGTAGGTAATGTGGCTGTTTATTAATGGGGGAGAAGCGTGTAGGTAATGTGGCTGTTTATTAAAGGGGGAGTACTGTGTAGGTAATGTGGCTGTATATTAAAGGGGGAGTACTGTGTAGGTAATGTGGCTGTTTATTAAAGGGAGAGTACTGTGTAGGTAATGTGGCTGTTTATTAATGGGGGAGTACTGTGTAGGTAATGTGGCTGTTTATTAATGGGGGAGAAGCGTGTAGGTAATGTGGCTGTTTATTAATGGAGGAGAAGCGTGTAGGTAATGTGGCTGTTTATTAATGGGGGAGAAGCGTGTAGGTAATGTGGCTGTTTATTAAAGGGGGAGTACTGTGTAGGTAATGTGGCTGTTTATTAATGGGGGAGAAGCGTGTAGGTAATGTGGCTGTTTATTAAAGGGGGAGTACTGTGTAGGTAATGTGGCTGTTTATTAATGGGGGAGAAGCGTGTAGGTAATGTGGCTGTTTATTAATGGGGGAGAAGCGTGTAGGTAATGTGGCTGTTTATTAATGGGGGAGAAGCGTGTAGGTAATGTGGCTGTTTATTAAAGGGGGAGTACTGTGTAGGTAATGTGGCTGTTTATTAATGGGGGAGTTCTGTGTAGGTAATTTGGCTGTTTATTAATGGGGGAGATGCGTGTAGGTAATGTGGCTGTTTATTAAAGGGGGAGTACTGTGTAGGTAATGTGGCTGTTTATTAATGGGGGAGAAGCGTGTAGGTAATGTGGCTGTTTATTAAAGGGGGAGTACTGTGTAGGTAATGTGGCTGTTTATTAAAGGGGGAGAAGCGTGTAGGTAATGTGGCTGTTTATTAAAGGGGGAGAAGCGTGTAGGTAATGTGGCTGTTTATTAAAGGGGGAGTACTGTGTAGGTAATGTGGCTGTTTATTAAAGGGGGAGTACTGTGTAGGTAATGTGGCTGTTTATTAAAGGGGGAGTACTGTGTAGGTAATGTGGCTGTTTATTAAAGGGGGAGTACTGTGTAGGTAATGTGGCTGTTTATTAAAGGGGGAGAAGCGTGTAGGTAATGTGGCTGTTTATTAATGGGGGAGTACTGTGTAGGTAATGTGGCTGTTTATTAATGGGGGAGAAGCGTGTAGGTAATGTGGCTGTTTATTAAAGGGGGAGTACTGTGTAGGTAATGTGGCTGTATATTAAAGGGGGAGTACTGTGTAGGTAATGTGGCTGTTTATTAAAGGGGGAGTACTGTGTAGGTAATGTGGCTGTTTATTAATGGGGGAGTACTGTGTAGGTAATGTGGCTGTTTATTAATGGGGGAGAAGCGTGTAGGTAATGTGGCTGTTTATTAATGGGGGAGAAGCGTGTAGGTAATGTGGCTGTTTATTAATGGGGGAGAAGCGTGTAGGTAATGTGGCTGTTTATTAAAGGGGGAGTACTGTGTAGGTAATGTGGCTGTTTATTAATGGGGGAGAAGCGTGTAGGTAATGTGGCTGTTTATTAAAGGGGGAGTACTGTGTAGGTAATGTGGCTG